GTGCTAGGGCTAACCTAGCTGCCGTAATTATATATAATATTAGGTCCTTTTTTTTCTTGTCTAATGTTTTGTTTAATCATTCCTAACAAAAAAAAATCTGGTTCTAACTCAATATCCTCACTATCAACATGGAGATCATGTGAAGTGTTAATGCCGCTTCATAAGGCCTTGGTAAGGCCACACTTGGAATACGGCATTCAGTTTTGGTCGCCACGATGTAAAAAAGATGTTGAGACTCTGGAAAGAGTGCAGAGAAGAGCAACAAAGATGTTTAGGGGGACTGGAGGCCAAAATATATGAAGAATGGTTGCAGGAACTGGGTATGTGTAGTTTAATGAAAAGAAGGATTAGGGGAGACATGATAGAAGTCTTTCAATATCTCAGGGGCTGCCACAAAGAAGAGGGAGTCAATCTAGTCTCCAAAGCACCTGAAGGCAGGACAAGAAGCAATGGATGGAAACTAATCAGGGAGAGAATCAACTTAGAACTAAAGAGAAATTTCCTGACAGTGAGAACAATTCATCAGTGGAACAACTTGCCTCCAGAAGTTCTGAATGCTCCAACACTGGAAATTTTTAAGAAGATGTTGGATAACCATTTGTCTGAAGTGGTGTAGGGTTTCCTGCCTGGGCAGGGGGTTGGACTAGAAGACCTCCAAGGTCCCTTCCAACTCTGTTATTCTATTCTATCCTAGAACCGAGGTATGATTAATGAACGTAAAGCAAAGTTGGAATCAGTTTCTGGCCTTCCTCCTTCTTGATATAACAGAGTGCCACCTGCAGGATTAAAGATAGGCAGCCGGCTGAAATGAGAAATGAAATGTAGCTGGGGCGAAGGATTTAGGATAATTTCCGAGAATAAGGCAGTAAGCAATTATATGTTAAAACACTGTTTTCTTTTTCTTTTCTTTTTAACTATTTATATATTTTCACATTACATGCATAAGTGCTTCGTGAAGAGCATATTGTCTGAATCATTTTGCTTATCAAATACTTTTCCTGCTCCTAATTTCTACCTCTATTATCCATTTATAAAACAAGCCCCATATTCGAAAATACTCTATATTTTCTTTTTCTTTTATTTTTAATGTCAATCTGTCCATTTCTACGCAATCTAAATTTTTTTTTAATTATATCATCCTCTGTAAGTGTTTCCTCATTTTTCCAATACTGCGCAAATACGATTCTTGATGCTGTCAAGACATGTAATTTTTTTAAAAAAATTTGATTTATATGCCGCCCTTCTCCGGAGACTTAGGGCAGCTTACAGTGCGTTAAGCAATAGCCTTCATACTTTTGTATATTTTTATACAAAGTCAGCTTATTGCCCCCACAAACTGGGTCCTCAATTTACCTACCTTAGAAAGGATGGAAGGCTGAGTCGACCTTGAGCCTGGCGAGATTCGATCCTACTTTAATTGCAGACAGCTGGTGTTAAATTACAGTGCTTAGTCTGTTGAGCTCTCCAGGCTCCCTTTATAAGTTCCCTTTATTGTATTTTTCAGGTATTATGCCTAGCAAAAAATATTTCTGGTTTATAATCTAGATGTTGTTTTAACATTTTCTCCAACCATGTATGGATTTTTGTCCAATATTTCTTTGCTTTTACACATGTCCACCACATATGATAATATGTCCCCGCTGTCTCCTTACATTTCCAAGATTTGGCGGACATACTTTTAAACATCTTTGCTAATCTTGCCAGTGGTAGATGCCACCTATAAAACATTTTATATAAATTTTACTTATGTAGTTGCCATTAGGGACGCGGTGGCTCAGTAGGTAAAACGCTGAACTCATCGATCAAAAGGTCGGCAGTTCAGCGGTTCGAATCTCTAGCGCCGTTTAACGGGGTGAGCTCCCGTGACTTGTCCCAGCTTCTGCCAACCTAGCAGTTCGAAAGCATGTAAAAAATGCAAGTAGAAAAAATAGGGGCCACCTTTGGTGGGAAGGGAACAGCGTTCTGTGTGCCTTTGGCGTTGAGTCAGGCCGGCCACATGACCACGGAGATGTCTTCGGACAGCGCTGGCTCTTCGGCTTTGAAACGGAGATGAGCACCGCCCCCTAGAGTCGGGAATGACTAGCACATATGTGTGAGCGGAAGCTTTACCTTTAGTTGCCATTGTCAATTTACAATTTCTTTCCCAAAGCTTTTGCCATTTGTCTAAATCTATAGTATATCCAGTTTTTTGCCCATAGTATCATTGTTTCTTTTACCTGTTCATTTTCTGAACCCCTCTTTTCCTGGCTAGGATTTCTTTCTTTGTATCTCTTCAACACAAGAGTCTGCACCAACGGATTATGAAACAACTGTTTTAGGGTGTGGTTTTTTTACACCTGATATTTTTAAATGGGAGCTGCAATAATATGAATCATTCTTAACCAGAATTCTAGTTTGTCAAACAGGCAAGCCCTCCGCACTGATTCTCTGTTCTGGCCATACTTTTGGTTCCTAGCAATTGTGTGTGGTGGCTAATGGAGTTTACTTTTTGGGATAGCTGGAATTTTCCCTAAATATTTGAGGGGAGAGAGGGAGGGAGGGAGGGAGGAAGGAAGAGGAACAATGGGAGGGAGGGAGGGAGGGAGGGAGGGAGGGAGGGAGGAAGGAAGGAAGGAAGGAAGGAAGGAAGGAAGGAAGGAAGGAAGGAAGGAAGAAGATGAACAATAGGAGAGCGGAAGGAAGGAAGGGAAGGAAGGAAGATGAACAGTAGGAGGGGGAAGGAAGGAAGGGAAGGAAGAAAAGGAAGGAAGGAAGGAAGATGAACAATAGGAGGGGGAAGAAAGGGAGAGAGGGAGGGAGAAAGGAAGGAAGGAAGGAAGGAAGGAAGGAAGGAAGGAAGATGAACAATGGAAGGGGAAGGAAGGAAGATGAACAATGGAAGGGGAAGGAAGGAAGGAAGGAAGGAAGGAAGGAAGGAAGGAAGGAAGGAAGGAAGGAAGGAAGGAAGGAAGGAAGATGAATAATGGAAGGGGAAAGAAAGAAGGAAGGAATAATGGGAGGGGTAAGAAGGGAAGGAAGGAAGGAAGGAAGGAAGGAAGGAAGGAAGGAAGGAAGGAAGGAAGGAAGGAAGGAAGGAAGGAACGAAGGAAGGAAGGAAGGAAGGTGAACAGTGGGAGAGGAAAGGAAGAAAGGAAAAAGGAGGAAGGGAAGATGAATGATCGGAGGGAGGGATGGAAGGAAGCAAGCAAGATTAGAAAGAAGATTTATATATGTATGGATATGGATGAGCTAACCGACTGGATACAATAATGACAATGCCATATTTTTCTGTATCCATGGAACTACCCCAGTAATGGATGCGTTTTGAACCTTGCTGATTTCAAAACCAGTTCTATTGGATCTCGTATTCTATCTTTTGAGAAAGATGTATTAAGTGTGTTGCGTATTTATGGTCATAGTAAGGTTTTTCCCCAGTGAATGCCTTGCTTTGTATATACTGTGGGGTCCTTGTTGGTCTCGAGTTTGGTATTTTTCTTACAGACGTTTCATTACCCAACCAGGTAACATCATCAGTGCCAGAAGGGAGTAGGGTTTGCTCTCATATTATATACTAAATATCTAATATACCAGTATTTGTATATTATTATATAAACAGATAGCAAACCCCACTCCCTTCTAGCACTGATGATGTTACATAGTATGGTAGTGAAACGTCTACCAGAAAACCAAGCTCTGAGAGCAAGATGTTCCCCACCGTTCAATCCGAGCTACAAATATTCTCTATCATTATATATTACTATCTGATAACCCAGCATTGCCTGGGTATTTATTTATCCCAATCCTGTATTAGACAGGAAGAGCAACTTAACCCTGAGCCCTGATTTTGGCAAGAATTAAATTAGTGGAAAATCTTTTCCCTGTGCCCCCAAAAGCGTCAAGTAAAATAATTACCACCTTGTTGTTTAGCTGATCCATGATCATTTGGTATGCTTTTTTCTGATCTTGATTTAGAAGTGGCTTCTCGTCCACGATATATGCACTCGGCCGTTCGACGTTGTAGTTCTTTCCTCGTATGTAATCTGCGTGAAGTACGTCATGTCGGTCTCGTAGTGGTGCAGGTAGGCCGTTTGTCCTCAAGAATAATCACAGCCTTGTTGAAAATGTCCAGACCAAACATAATTTCTAAAGTTGTATTTTCCCCTTACCAGAGGGAGCCCCCTTGTGGAGTACTGTGAAGCCATTACCATGGCAACTCCACAGTGTTGTACAGCAGAAGCCATTTTAAGGCAGTCCAGTGGAAGCCATTTTAAGGCACAACAGTCTATATCTTAACAGAACACATACACAACAACAGAAGTGTGTTGGGGTGTCTTACCCCCACAGTATTTCTTTCCAGAGAGTAAATCATCTGTGTACCAAGATTGGTTGAAATTGCTTGAGGCGTTCCAGAGTTATGCTGGAACATACATACATACACGCACACACATATATATATATATGTATAGTTTTATTGAATCAAGAATAAAATCTATGCTCATTTCCAGTCCTCCATCTGGAATTCCATTTAACATATTGGCTGAACTATGTATCCTGTTTCCCCGAAAATAAGACATCCCCTGATAATAAGCCCAATCGGGCTTTTGAGAGCATGCGCTAAAATAAGCCTCCACCCCCGCGAAAATAAGCCCTCCCAGAAAATATTTAAATGCAGAGCTGGAAATCAAGTAAGATGGCAAGAGGAGCCCCATCTTGCTCCACGCACCCCAAAATAATAAGACCTCCCTGAAAATAAGGCCAAGCATTTATTCCAGGGTTCAAAAAAATATAAGACAGGGTCTTATTTTCAGGGAAACACGGTAGTTCCATACAGAATTGACTTTTCCATGCTATTTTATTGTTCCCTTTAATTGTTCGATTTAAAAGGCACGGAAAGATCTAATTCTTTGGAAACAAGGTACACCAACTACCCTTGGAAAGCACTTTCCCTCACAAACAATAAAATATGACATAGCACACGCAAAGGGTAGAATAGGTTGAAAGAAAACGACGTCACACAGCTGTTTTAAAAAGGGCTTTGTTGCTTTTATTGTTCAAAATGAACAATCGAGTTTATTGTACAAAATGCTCACAGCCAAACCAAACAGTTAACAGACATATAACACACAGTTAAATTACAATTTCCTGTGAAAAGCGAGTCCCTCTCCGCTTCGGTAGCTGATAAATCGATAAAATGGCAGCATTGTGTTTTGCAAACTAAGAAAAAAACTTATTCAAGCGCATCGATGCTTTTGTGCAAATCCAATAGGTTTTGGTCAACCGCTGAAGATGTGAATATTGATTTAAAGGTTTTCTAGCCAGGATAATGCAACTGGTTTTAAGTACAACTCGTTGTAAACCTGAAGGATACTTGCAATCAGATTATTTCCTCAAGAATGGATTCGTAGTTAAATAATAATCCACTGAGCATCAGGTTAACGAGACTAAGATTTAGAGCAGGGATGGTAAACTATGGCCCTTTTATGACTTATGGACAACTCCCAGAATTCCTGAGCTGGCATGGGAACGTGGCCCTTTTATGATTCGTGGGCTTCAAATCCCAGAATTCCTGAGCCGGCATGAGAACATGGCCCTTATTTATGACTGGTGGACTTCAACTCCCAGAATTCCTGAGCCGGCATGGGAACGTGGCCCTTATTTATGACTGGACTTCAACTCCCAGAATTCCTGAGCCAACATGGGAACGTGGCCCTTATTTATGACTGGTGGACTTCAACTCCCAGAATTCCTGAGCCAGCCATGCTGGTTAAAGAATTCTGGGAGTTGAAGTCCACGAGTCATAAAGGGGCCACAATTCCTCACCTCTGATTTAGAGCAAAGACTCACTTGAGATCATCCATCACACCCTTCATTTCCAAATTTTGGGATCGGATCTTGACGTAGCAAAAATAACTTATATCAGAAGAGAATAGTATCAACAGAAGATGCTTTCCCCTAAGCAAATGCCATGGATATATTGGCACCAACAAGTAGAAGGGCGAGCGACAAGGATAACGTGAAAAAGAGCATGGCTGACTCAGCAGAATTAGGTAGCCCTCGACTTACAAGAGTTCATTTAGCAACCGTTTGAAGATACGACGGCACTGAAAAAAAAAGGGACTTCACATCAGGACCCTGGCAATATTCTCATGGTCACATGATCAAAAATTCAGACGCTAGGAAGCCAACTCACACTTATGACGGTTGCGTCGGGGGTGTGTGTGTCACACGGTCCCTTTTTGCGCCCTTCTGACAAGCCAGATTCACTTAACAACCATGCCACTGATTTAACAACTGAAGTGATTCGCTTAACAACCGTGGCAAGAAAGGTCGTAGAGGGGAACAAAACTCGTTTTAAGAACTGTTGCTCACTCAGCAACAGAAATGTGGGGATCGATTGCCGTCGTAAGTCGAGGACTGCCTGTAGTTTTATTGTCACAGTTTTATTGCCATAGTCATAAAGTTAAGAATACATTTGCACGCCTGGCCTCCAACTACTTCTCGGACACATCCACAAAAATTCAGTCGAGCACACTCAAACCGAGCTTGGAGAAATATGCTAAATTCGGCTTCGAGAACCAAACCAGCAATGACAGTAAAGTCGCAGAATAAATGTAATTAAGGCAGTGCGTTATTTAGCAGCTGTTGGAGTGGTGCGGTGGCCTAGAGGTGGAACTCTCGCTTCACAATCAAGAGGTTGTGAGTTCGATCCTAGGTAGAGGCAGATATTTCTCTCTCTGGGTATGTTGAGAATATATCTGCTGAACAAAACTCCTCATTGGAAACAGGAAGGGCATCCGGCCAATAAACACTCAGCTCCATTCAGTTGCCCAGATTCCAACCCGCAAGGGATTATGAGGTTGTTAAATGAAGAGATGATGATATTTAGCAGCCGTTGGGACATCCGCAATAAATTAAGGCGAAAACACGGCTCACCGTTTCCCTTCCCCTATTCTCAAGAAACGAGCGGGATGGGATTACACGGATTCATCATTTGCTTCAACCTCATGCCGTGCAACACACACACGAGACACTTGGGGGGGTGGGGAAGAGTTTTTGGATCCCCTCCCCCTCCCCGGGTTCCAAGAGAGAGTTTTCATTAACTTCTTGCTTTGTTCAGGAGAGGGGGAACAAAATAAAAAGGCATTTTTAAACATAGATATATAAAACTGCAGGCAGTACATTCCGGCAGCCTTTAGATGACTAAATGCCATTCGATATTCCGTTATTAACAATATGTTAAATATCTGGGGCCGAACGGTGCAGAGATTCCGTTAGCGAAAGCTGCCCACGGTGTGGCTATTCACAAATACCTCCTCGAGAAGTAGGGTTTTTTTTGAGCTCCCTTCCAATGGTCTTTCTTGCTTTCTCTAACCCTGTTGTAGACAAGGAGAAAAATACAATTGTTAGAAGCGTCAAGCTGGCAATCTCTGGTCATCCTACAAAATAGTTCTATGCGAGGATAGATAGATAGATAGATAGATGGATGGATGGATGGATGGATGGATGGATGGATGGATGGATGGAT